TCAGAGCATTTGTCTTCTTCAAATAGCAATTTTCTCTCTTGGATTTGAAAGTGCGCAATCATGATAAGGACTCATTTATGTATCAATGAAGGTGCACTTTCAAATCCGAAGACGATAAAATGTGTTTTGGGGATACAAATGTGATGAAATCTTATTGAAAGGGAACCTTTCTGAAAACTTAAACCATGGTTCAAAACATGGTTAAGAAATATCAGTACTATTGCATAATTTGATCTAATACAGTCTAAATGTTTATCATATTTGGATTATTCATTCTTTAAGTTTTCCTAGAGTTATTTTTACGATCAGATTTCATGAAAAAATGATTAATTATGTGAAAAACAACTTCAGGAACCTTGAAAAATGAATCATCATATATACAAAATGACGTCGAATGATGGAACTAGCCAACGTCAATATATATTATGATGTCAAATTTTGGCATAAGCCGACATCATATACCTTAGAGGATTTAAAAAAGAAATCCATTTTTTCAAACCTAGGGTCAAAAATAAAACAAAACCAACCAACAAAAATACCTTAGAATAAAACATAGGCAAAAAATGAAATCCAAATTTGTTAACTTTTTTCTTTGGATTTCTATCATACCTTCAAGCTTTACAAAAACTTTTCATAATGATGAATCAATGACAAAGAAATGTCTTGGTTTTGTGAACTTGAAGAAGTTAATAGAAATTCAAAGAAAAAAAAGTTAACAAAATGATTGTTGGATATGAAAGCTCTATAAAAAAGAAAAGTTTAATGAATGGAGGTGTAGGGTTTTTCAAAGGATCTGAAACTTTATTTAAAGGGAAACTGTAGGGAAACAAAGGAGCATTTCATATTCATTTATTCTGGTATGGACGTCTATTGTTGCCTAAGTGGACGTTATATGTTAGACGTTATTAGCTAAATAACGTCAAATTGTGGTGCTAACAAACGTCTAAGATATTGAATTTATTTACAACAATGTCACCGGTCATTTTTAACGTTGGTTATTCAAAGATTGGACGTTGAACATGTGACGCTATACTTACTAGTGCTAACTAAGTCGGTCTTTCATCTCTATAATTATTCTACTTGTATTTCTTTAGCACAAAAAGGGACACAAAATAATAATAGAAATATAAAGAAATTTTTTGTGGGATGAGGGGATAGGGGATAAGAAGATAACTTGTATCAAATGGGAAATATGATTAAATCAAAGGAAGATGATGGGTTGGACATAGGAGAAATATGAAAGTTCAATGCACATCTGTTGGCAAATGGGAGGATAGGAACATAAGAACAAGGATTGCAGAAGGATGTATCTAAATGTAGCTCATGGAGAAAAATAAGACTGCAAAACTCAACAACAGAAGGGTTGTGGTGGTGGAAAGATATATGCATCATATGTGGCTAGGGGGCTCTTTATAACTAGTTTGACAATAGTCTAATTTAGAGGGTAGGGAGAGGGAACATTGTAAAATTTTGGGAAGACAAATGGGTGTGAGATATACCTTTCAGGGATAGGTTCCTAAGACTATACTTAATCTCAATTTCTACGAAAAAATTGATATATCGGGTTGGGAAATTGAGAGATGGATCTTGGGAGTGGAAACTAATATGGAGGAGAGAAAGATTTATGTGGAAAAAATGTCAAGAACATTAGTTTTATAAACTTATTTATGTCCACCATTAGGAGAGGAAGAGAGGACAAATGTGTTTGAAAATTTAATGAGGTGGGATTATTTTCTATCAGCTTTGAATATAACACTCTGCAACATAACCTAATTGAGGAGAACGAGACATTATTCAAATAATTTTGGAGTGTGTAGGCTTTACCTTATGCACAATACTTTGGGTGGTGAGTGTTACTTGATAAGGTACCAACAAAGGATAAGTTAATAAGCAGGAGAGTGATTATAGTAATAGCATGTGTGAGTTATGTTATGTACAAAATGAAAATGTGCTACATCTATTCTTCTTGTGCACAATAGCACAGTGGGTTTAAATTTTTGTGATAGCTAGGTGGGAGCTAGTTTAGTAAACTACATCAAACCTAAAACCCATTTTAAGCACTTAAATTTAATACATATAAATAAGAAACACTATAAAATATGGAAGAGTTTATGGATAGCAATCACATGGACCATATGGAATCATGGAAATAAGGTTATTTTCAGACTAGGCAAAATAGACATAGAAGAAATATTTAGCATGGCACAACTAAATACATGGCTATGGATGAAACATTAAAAACCCAAATTATCATTTTCATTCTCTGATTGGTAATGTCCTTTTATATGCTTAAAATCTTTGTGACAATGGTAATCAATTGAGGATTACACTATCCCAACGATGTACATTTTATTTTCCTTATTTATATGCCTAAAAAATCACTACAATTTTATACCTAAGGCTATTATTAATATGCGATACTTTATTGAGTTCTCATGCTTTGAGTAAGCTTTGATGGTGCTGAGACTATTTGTTAGGGATTACAATGAAAATTACATTCCACAAATGTGTATATGGTTATACATCAAATGCAGGTATCAGATCATTACTAGCAAATACAAAAGTGGTAAAGTATAGCAAGTGTTACAAGGTGACTGATTAAGATTGGTACTTAGGATACGTGAATTGGGTAACAACCTCTCAACAGGACACATGGAACAATGCATATTCAATGACTCAAAATCAATAGTGTTAATTTACTTTATATAGAGTTTGTGACAGATTCATTGAGTACATTTTAGATGTGAGGGAGTTGTATTTTGGTAAAAGTAACGTGGAAATCCATAGGTTTTGCCTTAAAATATAGATTTAGAAAAAATTGTTGATAAGTAGAGGATAAACTTTGTATATATTTTTTTGTAAAAGGGTTAGAGTATCGTAAGTATCCTACTATTAATATAACTAGCTAATAAGAAAATGGAGGAACAATTAATTTGTCTCATGGTCTCCATTTTTTTGGCTTTTTCTTTTCCTACAATGACTACGTTTTTCTTTAGGTATGTGTTTGTGGTGCTTTATATAATAAAGAAAAAAGGACTCTAATGGTTGGATTGGAAGTCAAGGGCAACTATATCCATAAAGAAAATTAATAAATTTAAATTAAATTAATTTTATCAATTAAATTAAATTTAGTGAGACTAATGAAATATATTTGACTAATAGGATTGACTTGTCTCAAACTTTGGCATGAGCTAAGTTATCACAACCTCTAACATGGGTTGAGTTGTCATGACCTTTGATCTAAGCCTGATTCGGTTTGACCTTCGGTGAAATCTCCCTTGACTAGGCTTTCAATTGTGACTGACTCAGCTCAACCTTTGACCTCGATAAACTTTGCTTAGCCTTCGGCACAAGTCAGCTTAACTTAACCTTCGGTTAGGACCGATTCGACTAAAGCTTCGACTCGAGCTAACTAATCTCGATCTTTGGTCTAGATCGACTCATCTCAACTTTCATATCTATCAAACTCAGCTCAATTCTTTATTTGGCCTGCCAAATCTCGACCTTTATATTAGGCTAAGCCAACTTAAATCGAACAAGGCCAACTAGGGTCGAACTTCGACTAAGGCAAATTGGACTCAAATTCTTTGACCTAGATTTGACTCATCTCGATCTTCATATTATGCCAACTCGTCTCGATTTTTCGGCCTTATCTAACTCAACTCAACCTTTAACCTAGACCTACTCATGTCAAATTTCATGTCAAGCTAACTAATCTCAATTCTGCGACCTGGGTCAACTTGACTTAACCTTCAACCAAGAGAACTTGTCTTGATTCTTTCACTTAAGTTGACTCATCTCGATACTTATATGGGATCAACTCAATTTGATCTTTAATCCAAGTTAACTCATCTCGATCTTTGGTTAGAGCAATCTCAACTTGATCTACGACTCGACCTGTCTAGGCTTGACCCATCATAGATCAACCTTTAGTTTAGGCCAACTCAGCTTAACCTTCAATCAACTCACGATTTTCATTATGCTAACTCAACTTAGTTCTTCGTCCCTGGCCAACTCAACTCCATTCTTCGACCCAGGTTGACTTGTCACGAACTCTTTTGATATCTTTCTAACTCAACTTAATTCTTCAACTTGACTAACTCGGATCGACCCTAGGTTCATTCGTGATGACTTAATTCCATATATTCACTTAGGTCAACTTACATTAACTTTTGGTCGAAGCAGTCAGCTTTATCTCAAACAAAACTGACTTCCTTCAACTTTTGACCTAAGTAAACACTTTAGATCATCGATCTAGGTTGACTTATTTCGACCTTTAATTCATGTCAACTCATCTTGATTCTTCAAGTTAGACCAACTCGTTTCTACTTGAATCAATTTAGCTCAACCTTTGTTTTAGATCGACTTAACTCAACCTTAGACTCAAACCACTTTGACTCAACTTGATCTTCAATCGCCTTAGTTCAATAGTAATTATTTAAATTTTAAATTTTTAAAATCCAAAAAATAATCAAATCTAAATCCAATTAGGTACATTGAATTTAAAATTCAAAAATATGAATTTGGATTTGAAAAAATCTATTTAAATAAAGTTAAACTAACACAGATTTGTTGGCTGTCGGCCAGGGTTAGGGTGACTAATTTGCATCTTTTAGTGACAAAAGTGAGGAAATTAACAATGAGATTGTTATTGGAAGCCAAAGTCATGGTGGGATACTGTCTACATAAAGTTGAAGGACTTCAATAAATATTCTCGTTCACATTAAAAACAGAAAAGTCGGATCCAAAGTCAGGCATTGAAACACAAATTCTTCAATTTGAAGTGCTTGTCAAACCAAAATTCAAAATCTTACATTGAAATATGAAGCCATTTTTCAAACAAGACTTACATGTATAAATATTTCGTTTAAATCTGATCCATTTCGGTAAAGTCCATTTAAAATTGCACCATTGTCATAAATTCCCCCCTAATTACATAATAAACCTCTACGAGTCCCCACGTCAGTAAACGATGCAACAGCACTAGTGCTACTGGTACATAATCAAACCAAGAAAGAGACTATATTATGATGCAAAAGAATAATAATGCCTTTATTCTCATCCTGTACAGTTCAATCACGCTATAATGTTAATTTTCCTTCCTACTCTAAATCTGAACGCTTAAACTTAAAAGGGGCATACTGGAATCTACAACAGAACTTGTTGGGTATACTCGCAGTACATATCAGGTGACAATCTATGCACAGAAGACTCGACATATCGTACTTGAGTCAAACCCCACACTACATGAAAGGACTTTTAATGTAATGGATAATGATAATTGCAGATATAACTTTCTGTTGTATATCTCATAAGCATTCCCTGGTGGACAAGTTGTTGAGTAGACTGAGATTATCAAGTTTCGTCAAGTCACCCATATGCGAAATGAGAGAAACCATATTTACAACCATCATTATCGCTCATTCAAATGTGTCCTCATCACCTCGGAACGTCCTGACAAAACTGACCACTGATTTCACGGAATGCCAAACATGATAGAAGGACAAGTGCTATAGGGTTCTAACCGCAGTCTGGTTTGTGCATACGCAAGAGCACACCGACTCCCTTCCAAAAAGCCTTTTCTCACGGTTAATCATCAATTTAATCAAGGGAAGTTTTTTTGTAACTTGGCGCCAGATCTCATTAACTGTCCCGTTGGGTTCTTCATATTCGAAGTATCGCTTAACCTGAAACAAGTTTAAACTAAATTAAAGCCTTGTGTAACAAGGGGAAATCTTCAAAATATAATCAATCTAGAATTAATGCTCTTAATCAAACTTTGCACATCAAAGGTATAAGTACCATAACATGAAAACAATGAGAAATTAGCACCCTCTTACTGATGAATAATTACTAATTAACTCCTGAGTTAAATAACCATAATGAGGGAACTTGTCTTCCGATCAATACAACATCACTGTATATGAATACACAAAAATAATAAAGGAGATAGAATCAGGATAAGATAAGGTGTTAGAAAACCTACTCTACTACTCAGAAAAACAGAGGTCACTGAAGAATGAAAAACATTATTCACCTTAACCTTGTAACCCTGAATACATGGTCTTATATAACAGATATTTGTAAATACTAAAACTCAGAAATGAAAAGATAATACTGCTAATAAACTAACAGAATGTCAAAACAGAAAATAAAGCAGACAAATAAAAACATCAGATTCTGACAGAATTATGTGCATCCTAACAGTCCCTCAAACCCAAAGTTATTGAAAATAATCAATAACTTAGTTTGGAACGCAGAAAAGAGAAATGAGCTTGAGAAAGGGATTTTGTCAATATATCAGCAAGTTGATCCTGGGCAGGAATATGAGTAACAACTAAGGAGGAATCCAGCACTTTTTCCCGAATAAAGATATTCAGCTCCATGTGCTTCGTTCTAGTGTGTAACACAGGGTTATGACGGAGGGCAACAGTGCTTTGGTTGTGGCAGTAAATGATAGCTGTAGGACAGGGAATATTTAACTCCTTTAGAAGAGACTGCAGAAACAAAATTTCAGAAGCAGTAATTGCAAGGCTTCTATATTCCGCTTCAGCAGTTGAACAGGCAACCGGTGTTTGTCTCTTAGACCACTAGGAGACCAGATTATTTCCAAAGAATATACAAGCACCAGAGGTTGATCTTCTGTCATCAACCTCTGATGCCCAATCTGCATCACAGTGTGCAGTGAGGGTGTACTGGGCAGAATTAGAAGCAGGTTGAAGGTTTCAGACCATAACAAATGGTGCCCTTGAGATAGCGTAGTATATCTTTGACTTCCTTCTAGTGTTCTGTCAGTAGTCAATCTCAGGTTTGGTGATAGTAATATACTGCAATGCACCAACAACACTAGACCTATAGAGTATCGGATCATCAAAATAATCAAATCCAAACTGCTACTGAGTTTTAAGCCACCTTGAACAGGAGTAGAAGTACCATTAGCATCAGCCATGCCAGCCTTTTCAGGCAAATCACGAATGAATTCAGTTTGGGAGAGAAGCAAAGAACTTCAGGGAGATGCTTTTCTTCAATACCCAAAAAATAGTCAAGCTCACCAAGTTGTTTGAGAGTAAAGACAGCATGTAATTTTGAAATTAAATATTTCAGCAGAGTGGTGGAGGAACCCATGAGAATTATGTCAACAACATAAATATGAACATAAAGGCAGTCTACTGCAGTGGTAAGGACTAATAGAGAAGGATCACATTTACTCTGCACAAACCCAAAACTGACCAAAGCAGAGGTGAGCCTGTCATACCAAGATCGGAGGGGCTGTTTGAGACCATACATAGAATGCTGAAGCTTGCAAACAAGAGAGGAATCAGTGGACTAGAAACCAGGAGGTTGAGTCTTGTAAACATCTTCATGAAGAATGGCATTGAGGAAGGCATTATTTACATCAATCTATTGAATAGACCAATGGTTTGTAAGAGCCAAAGTAAGAACGATGTGGACTGTAACAAGCTTTATAACAGGGTAAAAAAGTTTCAAAATAGTCACACCCTGTTGGAAGTCCCACATCGACTAGAGCCAATTTATAATATATAAGTGGGTGTAAATCTCACCTTATAAGCCGGTTTTATAGGGATGAGTTAGGCTTACAGTCAGTCTACTTTTTCACATCATATCAGAGCTATGGTTAGAGCCTATCCTAGCAATATTTGTTGTTTGTTGGGCATATTGTTTCACCCGCTATCGAACCACTCATTAATGTTTAGTCTCACGCTCGAGATGATGTCTATACCTCACCTTATAAGCCGGTTTTGTAGGGTTGAGTTAGGCTTAAAGTCCACTTCTTCACACACCCAAACTTTTGATTAAAAGTTTTGGCCACTAAATGGGCTATGTACTTATTTACAGTACCATTCGAGTTCTCTTTTAATTAGAAAGACTCATCTACAGCCAATAGCAGTCCGGCCAGGAGGAGAAAAGTGAGATGCCACATATCATTAGCTATTAAGGCATCATATTCAGATTGCATTGCTTGTCTCCAAAGAGGAGAGGAGAAAGCTTGCTTGACTGCAACAGTAAAAAGTAAGGTAGGAGAATGACTAGGCTTGACACTACCAAATTTTGAACGGGTTTGCATGGGATGGGTGGGTCTAATAGAGGAAGAACTGAACTCGATGCAGGTTGTGAAGAAGACCCAGTAGGAGACTGAACAGAGGGAATAAAGGAAGTGCTGGCTGTAAAGAATGTGAGACAGAGGATGATTCAACAACTGGAGAATCTGGATTTGCATGCTGAGTGGGACAGTCAACAACAGTAGGAATGATCCCAAGAGGTAAAATGTGGGAAGATGAAGAGGACAGTAAAGGAGTCTGAGTTTGAGTGGCAAAGGAAAAAGTGTTAATCAAAGATAACATCCTTAGAAATAAAGATTTTGCCATTGGAATCAAGACACTTGTTGTACCCTTTGTGACACGGGAATACCCCAAAAAGGTGCAGGCAGTGGACCTAAACTGTAGTTTATTGGTGTTATAATGTAAAGTGTGAGGATAACAAGCACAACCAAAAATTTTGAAAAAATGGTAATTGATATCTTTATTAAAGAGAGTACAACAAGGGATGAAATGAGGAAGCCTGTTAAAAATATAAGTTGCAGTGTGACAGCCATGGTCCCAAAAAGTTGTAGGCAAAGATGCTTGAGAAAGAAGAGTAAGACTCATTTCAACAATATGCCTATGTTTACATTCAACAATACCATTTTTTATGATGAGTATGAGGACAAATTAAACAGTGATGAGTGCCCAATGAGTTAAGATATTGAGTGAAAGGTCTAAATTCACCACCCCAATATGTTTGAATTTGCTTAATCTTATGATTGAGTTGAAGTTCAGCAAAGGATTTAAATTGTTTAAAAGCATTTAAGGTGTCAGATTTTTGTTTTAAAAAATAAATCCAAGTATATCTACTATGGGCATCAATGAATGAAACATAATATAACCCATAGAAGATTTTACATGCGAAGGACCCCAAAGATCACAAAAGACTAGTTGTAAAGGTGCAGTATAAGAGCTTAAGGAAGTGTGAGAAGGTAATTGGTGAGACTTTCCCGTACAACATGCTACACAGAAATCTGCAGTAGTTTTATTTGGTGGAGATATATTACAGCGTTAGAGAACATTATGGAAAACAGCAACTGAAGGATGACCTAGTCTATTATGACAGGGAAAACTTAGTGAAATTGTGTGTTGGTACAGTGGAAAGAACGGGGGATTTGTGAACAACAGAAACAATGGAAACTGGTGGAGACACGTTCGAGGCATGCAGCAGAAGATGAGGAAACTGGTAGAGACCATCAAGACCAAGATTACACAACAGGAAAGAGTTATCAACTTGAGACTTGACAAAACAAACAGTGGAATGAAATTCAAAATACACATTATTATCTCTAGCAAATCGACTGACACTAACAAGAGTTTTATTAACAGAGGGAACATGCAAGAGGTTGGTAATAGGTGCAAAGGAACAAGAGGATTATGAGAAGAAAGAGTTGCAGAGCCAAAATACTGAATAGGAAAACCTTGTCAGTTCCCAAGGAAGACACAAGCATCTCTTGGAGCAGGTGTTGGATTCTCAAGATTGACAGAATCAGTGGTTATGTGATGAGATGCACCAGAGTCAATAAATGAATTCTGAGATTGTTGAGCATGCTGATAGACCAGTGTGGACTGAGCAATATAAGCATGGGGTTGTGAAGCTGGTACAGTGGTACTGTAATGGGCCTGAGAGGGAGGCAAAACAGGTGGTGAAGGCAAGAGAGGACATGACATAGTGGATGGCCCTGGAAGCTGATAGCCTGGAAAATGAGCAAATGCTCCTGGAGGTGGTATACCAGGAAATGATGGCTGATATGAAGGATATTACAGCACTGGATTTTGAGCAGAAGGATTATTGTAGGGCTGAACAGCATAGTTGGGGTTAAAGCGATGATAACAAAGGGATGTGGTGGTGTGACCATATTTGTTGCAAACTTGACATTGAATACTTCCACGACTAACACACCTTGATGTCCATAATTTCCTTGGTCCCATTGAAAATAACCACCACCACCACGGGAAGGGGGATGAAAAGTCAAAGAAGAATGGGAAGCCATCTATGTAAGCTGAACATTTGGAGCAAAAGCTGTTTCAGAATTTGCTTGAGTGAGATTCAGAGAAATATTGTTAGTATCATGCTTTGCAATCTGTGCTTCTTGAGCAACAAGGAGAGATTCAACTTCGCCCAGTGAGAACAAGTTTAAATTTACTATTGATGAGAGAAAGGAAGGACTCATTCAATCGGAAGTTCTTCAAAGATAACATTGAGTTGTTCGCATTCAGATACAGAATCTCCAATCAAATGAAGAAAATCTACCGATGCTTTGATGCGTAAAAGGAACTCATTGATTGACCATTCACCTTTCTTCATGGTATCCATGCATAGCTGAGTGCTCGAGCTTTGNTTGAAGGTTTCAGACCATAACAAATGGTGCCCTTGAGATAGCGTAGTATATCTTTGACTTCCTTCCAGTGTTCTGTCAGTAGTCAATCTCAGGTTTGGTGATAGTAATATACTGCAATGCACCAACAACACTAGACCTATAGAGTATCGGATCATCAAAATAATCAAATCCAAACTGCTACTGAGTTTTAAGCCACCTTGAACAGGAGTAGAAGTACCATTAGCATCAGCCATGCCAGCCTTTTCAGGCAAATCACGAATGAATTCAGTTTGGGAGAGAAGCAAAGAACTTCAGGGAGATGCTTTTCTTCAATACCCAAAAAATAGTCAAGCTCACCAAGTTGTTTGAGAGTAAAGACAGCATGTAATTTTGAAATTAAATATTTCAGCAGAGTGGTGGAGGAACCCATGAGAATTATGTCAACAACATAAATATGAACATAAAGGCAGTCTACTGCAGTGGTAAGGACTAATAGAGAAGGATCACATTTACTCTGCACAAACCCAAAACTGACCAAAGCAGAGGTGAGCCTGTCATACCAAGATCGGAGGGGCTGTTTGAGACCATACATAGAATGCTGAAGCTTGCAAACAAGAGAGGAATCAGTGGACTAGAAACCAGGAGGTTGAGTCTTGTAAACATCTTCATGAAGAATGGCATTGAGGAAGGCATTATTTACATCAATCTATTGAATAGACCAATGGTTTGTAAGAGCCAAAGTAAGAACGATGTGGACTGTAACAAGCTTTATAACAGGGTAAAAAAGTTTCAAAATAGTCACACCCTGTTGGAAGTCCCACATCGACTAGAGCCAATTTATAATATATAAGTGGGTGTAAATCTCACCTTATAAGCCGGTTTTATAGGGATGAGTTAGGCTTACAGTCAGTCTACTTTTTCACATCATATCAGAGCTATGGTTAGAGCCTATCCTAGCAATATTTGTTGTTTGTTGGGCATATTGTTTCACCCGCTATCGAACCACTCATTAATGTTTAGTCTCACGCTCGAGATGATGTCTATACCTCACCTTATAAGCCGGTTTTGTAGGGTTGAGTTAGGCTTAAAGTCCACTTCTTCACACACCCAAACTTTTGATTAAAAGTTTTGGCCACTAAATGGGCTATGTACTTATTTACAGTACCATTCGAGTTCTCTTTTAATTAGAAAGACTCATCTACAGCCAATAGCAGTCCGGCCAGGAGGAGAAAAGTGAGATGCCACATATCATTAGCTATTAAGGCATCATATTCAGATTGCATTGCTTGTCTCCAAAGAGGAGAGGAGAAAGCTTGCTTGACTGCAACAGTAAAAAGTAAGGTAGGAGAATGACTAGGCTTGACACTACCAAATTTTGAACGGGTTTGCATGGGATGGGTGGGTCTAATAGAGGAAGAACTGAACTCGATGCAGGTTGTGAAGAAGACCCAGTAGGAGACTGAACAGAGGGAATAAAGGAAGTGCTGGCTGTAAAGAATGTGAGACAGAGGATGATTCAACAACTGGAGAATCTGGATTTGCATGCTGAGTGGGACAGTCAACAACAGTAGGAATGATCCCAAGAGGTAAAATGTGGGAAGATGAAGAGGACAGTAAAGGAGTCTGAGTTTGAGTGGCAAAGGAAAAAGTGTTAATCAAAGATAACATCCTTAGAAATAAAGATTTTGCCATTGGAATCAAGACACTTGTTGTACCCTTTGTGACACGGGAATACCCCAAAAAGGTGCAGGCAGTGGACCTAAACTGTAGTTTATTGGTGTTATAATGTAAAGTGTGAGGATAACAAGCACAACCAAAAATTTTGAAAAAATGGTAATTGATATCTTTATTAAAGAGAGTACAACAAGGGATGAAATGAGGAAGCCTGTTAAAAATATAAGTTGCAGTGTGACAGCCATGGTCCCAAAAAGTTGTAGGCAAAGATGCTTGAGAAAGAAGAGTAAGACTCATTTCAACAATATGCCTATGTTTACATTCAACAATACCATTTTTTATGATGAGTATGAGGACAAATTAAACAGTGATGAGTGCCCAATGAGTTAAGATATTGAGTGAAAGGTCTAAATTCACCACCCCAATATGTTTGAATTTGCTTAATCTTATGATTGAGTTGAAGTTCAGCAAAGGATTTAAATTGTTTAAAAGCATTTAAGGTGTCAGATTTTTGTTTTAAAAAATAAATCCAAGTATATCTACTATGGGCATCAATGAATGAAACATAATATAACCCATAGAAGATTTTACATGCGAAGGACCCCAAAGATCACAAAAGACTAGTTGTAAAGGTGCAGTATAAGAGCTTAAGGAAGTGTGAGAAGGTAATTGGTGAGACTTTCCCGTACAACATGCTACACAGAAATCTGCAGTAGTTTTATTTGGTGGAGATATATTACAGCGTTAGAGAACATTATGGAAAACAGCAACTGAAGGATGACCTAGTCTATTATGACAGGGAAAACTTAGTGAAATTGTGTGTTGGTACAGTGGAAAGAACGGGGGATTTGTGAACAACAGAAACAATGGAAACTGGTGGAGACACGTTCGAGGCATGCAGCAGAAGATGAGGAAACTGGTAGAGACCATCAAGACCAAGATTACACAACAGGAAAGAGTTATCAACTTGAGACTTGACAAAACAAACAGTGGAATGAAATTCAAAATACACATTATTATCTCTAGCAAATCGACTGACACTAACAAGAGTTTTATTAACAGAGGGAACATGCAAGAGGTTGGTAATAGGTGCAAAGGAACAAGAGGATTATGAGAAGAAAGAGTTGCAGAGCCAAAATACTGAATAGGAAAACCTTGTCAGTTCCCAAGGAAGACACAAGCATCTCTTGGAGCAGGTGTTGGATTCTCAAGATTGACAGAATCAGTGGTTATGTGATGAGATGCACCAGAGTCAATAAATGAATTCTGAGATTGTTGAGCATGCTGATAGACCAGTGTGGACTGAGCAATATAAGCATGGGGTTGTGAAGCTGGTACAGTGGTACTGTAATGGGCCTGAGAGGGAGGCAAAACAGGTGGTGAAGGCAAGAGAGGACATGACATAGTGGATGGCCCTGGAAGCTGATAGCCTGGAAAATGAGCAAATGCTCCTGGAGGTGGTATACCAGGAAATGATGGCTGATATGAAGGATATTACAGCACTGGATTTTGAGCAGAAGGATTATTGTAGGGCTGAACAGCATAGTTGGGGTTAAAGCGATGATAACAAAGGGATGTGGTGGTGTGACCATATTTGTTGCAAACTTGACATTGAATACTTCCACGACTAACACACCTTGATGTCCATAATTTCCTTGGTCCCATTGAAAATAACCACCACTATGGGAAGGGGGATGAAAAGTCAAAGAAGAATCGGAAGCCATCTAAGTAAGCTGAACATTTGGAGCAAAAGCTGTTTCAGAATTTGCTTGAGTGAGATTCAGAGAAATATTGTTAGTATCATGCTTTGCAATCTATGCTTCTTGAGCAACAAGGAGAGATTCAACTTCGCCCAGTGAGAACAAGTTTAAATTTACTATTGATGAGAGAAAGGAAGGACTCATTCAATCGGAAGTTCTTCAAAGATAACATTGAGTTGTTCGCATTCAGATACAGAATCTCCAATCAAATGAAGAAAATCTACCGATGCTTTGATGCGTAAAAGGAACTCATTGATTGACCATTCACCTTTCTTCATGGTATCCATGCATAGCTGAGTGCTCGAGCTTTGGTTTGAGAAGTGAAATGAGCACGTATCTTCTCCCAAACTTGAAATGAGTGTTAACCAATGATTCAAGCTAAGAAAGGAGGATTGAAACCTCGAAAGGAGGATTGAAACCTCGAAAGGAGGATTGAAACCGCGAAAGGAGAAGTTGATCCTAGGTCTCCCAGGTGGTGTATATTCAGGATTTTCAATCCCTAAATCACCACCCGAAATAGAAAGAAATTGGGACAGAATCTGAGGGTTAACCAGAAAGCAATGTAGGCTGTGGGCTTTGATCACAGGCTCCATTTGTTGTTGCTAGAGGAAGAAATTAGTATCAATGAGTTTTTCCAAAATGGAATAGGAAACAAGAACAGGTGTGAAGGCGCCATGGAAGCAAGACAATGGAAGCAAGACAAGTACCCATAAAAGAGACAACTCTCGCTCTTGATACCATGTTAGAAAACCTACTCTACTACTCAAAGAAATAAAGGTGACTGAAGAATGAAAAATACTATTCACCTTAACCTTGTAACCATGAATACATGGTCTTATATAACAGAATATTTGTAAATACTAAAAACCAGAAATGAAAAGATAATACTGCTAACAAACTAACAGAGTGTCAAAACAGAAAATAAAGCAGACAAATAAAAACATCAGATTTTGACAGAATTCTGTGTATCCTTACATAAGGAAATAGCTATAATTTGCAATATCAATCAAAGTCCACCAAATATCCTTCTATGTACTGATTCTGTCATACTTTACAAGGGATTAAAAAATGCAACAGGTGAAGTGAAAGAAAGAATGTAGTAATGGCACCCAAAAATACCATAGCAAAAATAAATTATGCTGCACTACTAACCTCCTTTAGTTCCTTTTGGTATTCTAAGATTTTTTGTTTGGACAGAGCTCTCAATTTTGACACCAAATATCCTGGCTTTATAGCAGAAGTAGTTTCTACATACACGGCAAATTTTCTGTAGTCTAAAGTATCTTCAAAAGGCAACTCAATACTATCACTGACAATGACTGGGATGCACAAGCTAACTATAGCATCAAACAGTCGGCAGGCTGATGGAGTATCTCCAGCAGGATGTAAACAGAACTTTGATGTATGCATTCCTTGTGAAGCTGCCCGCCGACTCTCTCTGGATTGTGCTCCATGCTTTATTATGACATCCTTCTCATTTTCAAGAATTTGAAAGAGTATATCACGGATTTTCCCTCCCTGTGAAACAGATTTGAGCAACAAGAATTCAATACAGGAAAAGTAAACCATCCAAATCAGCAGTGATGTTCGGGTTATTTAAGCATATACAAGGAAAACAACAGTGTTACTGCATCATGCTGGAACATTTAAATGAAATAAAATGGGGAAACCTAATGAAGATACTTAGTGCTATTGATACTACACAGAATACAATACCACCCAAAATGTACAACATTATCCCAAGCAAAGAATACATACAATTTAAAGATGATAATTTATATTTTGCTTGGTATCCCTATGGTACTGTCTTTCTTTCGAAGAAAATCCTGTTTGAGGCATTGATTAAGACACTCAATAACAAATAACGAAAGGGAGTCTGGTTCTGCAAACAGTCAGAATAGAGTAAAATTTAATGCCTATGAACCTAAAAGGGCCCGAGACAAAAACAAAAGTAAATCGAAGATCACCCGAGAAGAGGCTCTCCGATAATACATCAATAAAATACTAAAATCGAATTGCATCCGTCATTTGCTGCTTAAAACTATATTCATAACTAAAAGACGTTTTCAAAAGTTCATAGCGCGAACTCTCCCAACTAGATCAAATTCATTTGCCCTTCAGCACCACGTTAATTCCACCATCGATTCTAAATGTACAAGCTAAATTAATTATTCCCGTTCCAGGTAGAACCAAGATTTTAAAAAATGTGCTTTTGACAATCTCCCCCAATGTCTTGGACAACAGCGAATTCAAAAATTGGGGTAGAGCTATAGAATATCAAATTACACATAAACAATTCATTATCTTAAAATTGAAATCCAAAGTCCCGATCAGAGCAGAAGACAATACCTCTTTGCGATACCGATTGCCCATGAAAAATAACAAGGTCTTGCGATCGGAGACACCAACATCACCAGGGTACGTTTTGATGCGGTGCGAGTAGGGTACAACAACATCCTTCACCAGCGATCCCTGGTCGGGTCGCAACCGCCCGAAATCTGAGACAAGCAGCACACAATTTTTTATCCGGTCGATAACCCGGTACATCGCATTCGGATCCGAAGCCACGAGCACGTGGTCCCTCCCGTTGCTCCTCTTCCAATACTCCTGCTCCTCAAGCCACTCCACCAGCGCCTCCTGATTCTCCTCGTCGCTGTAGATCGGTTTCTCCAAACTTGCACCGGAGCCAGGAGGTCGAGGCGGGTTCACGATCAGACTCAGCGACGAGAAGAACGGCACGAAGAAGAAATCGGCTTCCTCGGGATCCATGACGCGAACCACGGGCGAGCCTGATCGTTCGGAATCGGCTCGGGAGAGATCGGCAAAGAGGTACCACTCGGCCATATGCTGGTGGCCAGGGTACTTGAGGGAGGAGACGTCATCGGGTTGTTGGGAGAAGTGTGCACCACGCGCGAGGGCGTGATGGCGGATGACACCGTGGGTGAACCTGCTGGGGAGATCGTAGAGGAAGACTTTTACGGTGGGGAATTTAGCGCCGCTGGCAGCGAGGAGGACGGAGGAGGCGGAGTTGAAGGAGAAGGGGGAGTCGAAGGCGGAGGAATAGGTGGGGTGGAAGAAGGCGTTGAAGATTGCATAGAGGACGAAGAGGAGGAAGAGCGTAGCTAGGGTTTGCTTAAGAAGAGGTTTTCGCGCCATGGCGGAGAAGAGTGTCTGGGAATTGGTGGTGATAGATGAAATTAAACTGGGTTTGGGTTTTCTGATTTTGGCTTTGCCTTCCTCGTTCATGTTTTTCTGGTACGGCATCCTGATCAGTTTTTTCAACCTGCTATATGTACGCCTAATTTCCATTTATACGCCCACCTTTATCCATCTATGCCATTGGATCCAATTCTACCATTCATTACACAGCCTCTAGTGCTCACCCATACCACTGCGTTTACACAACATAACTCCATAACCCTACATTCAGATTCCTCCTTTTTTATATTTTATATATATTTATTTATCAAATATGGAATGTGAGAAGTCAGATACAAGATGGGGAGCCTGCAATCGATCATAGGGCTTGGATTTTTAAATCATTGGGTTGGGGAGAGTAAGTGTTATCACCAGTAAATAAATATTAATTAAATAACACCTGGCTTAATTCCAAATTCCAGTACTATAATTCATTTTTTTTAATTGTTATAATCTTGGAAAAAATTATTTTAGTCTATGCGGTTCTGTTTTTATGATTTTTTTTTTCTAGATCTTTATTTCTATCGTTGAAGTTTTGGAACGAAATTATGAAAATAGTTTATAAATTATTTCTAGCTTATTTTGGTGGTGTCTCTATTCTACCCGCCAACTTTCGAGAAATTTGGAGAAATTATTATATTTGAGTATAGTTCACAATATCTAGTATGAAAGATAAGTTTGATATATCTCATCCAACTAATAGTATATATGTTATAACTATAAGAATAAAAGAGATAGCAATGATACTTAAATACTTAATAATTAATTATATCTTTTTTTATCTAAGTGGTTATTTTAAAGGTTTAGAAACGTCTAAATATAGATAATAATGTGATAGGAAGTAATTACTTACCTTTCTTTTTTTTCAATACTCATAATACTTGCGTTAAATATATTTAAGTTTTTTTAATTTTAATATTACGAAATTGGATTTTTTAAGTTTTTAAATTTTAATAGGTTTAATTGCTTACTTGATCCCTACATTTAGAGGATTTTTTTAGTTTAGTATCACTTTTAAAAATGCCTCTATTGCATTCTCATATTGTATAATTTGCACTGATCACGTCCCTTCCGTTAAATTGGCATAAACAGAGTTATCTCCGTGGGGACGTGGCTTTGAAAACTCATCTTTTTTTTCTCTATCTTTTGCTCTTCCTACAATGATCAGCTTCTTCTTTCTCTTCTATCAATGTCTCGTTTTAAGGGTTTTAAATTTACCAATCTCTGCACATCGAACTCTCTACTGAGCATAGTGAGCTAAACATGCGAATGCTCCTGTTGCTGCCTCAGTTTCAAAATTTCCAACTTCAAAATGTTCTCGTCCTTCTTCAGTTTCTCCACTTCAGCCTTCACGCCTGGCTTCATCATATTGAAAGCTCCCTGATGCAGTCTGTTATACTTACCCATCCTCCTTATGTTCTTTAGCAAATGCATATTCCCTCCTTGGAAACTTCCAATGGTCTGAATCAAGCTTCCTGAAGGTTGTATCCGTTACACCATAAATCCTCCGTTTACATCGCAATAATGATATTATATATAAAAACAGATGAATCGAATTACTTCACATAGAACATGTATATGCAATCATACTAAAAGTTAAACTATTATTAAATGTGGAAGAAATTTATCAATATGGTTATAGTAAAATTATGAAATCATAATTTATTAATCAAATATTCAATTTATACAAATTACAAATCTTTCGTTCCATAGATTAATTAGGAAGAATAAATGGTGTCAGTTGATATAAATCAAAGGTTATTTTATAGATTTGAATATTTGATCCTAATTCATAAAATTATTAAAAAAAAGAATTTTGATGTATCATAGTGTGAGCAGTATTTTTGAGAGAGAAGAGGCCAGAGAGGTACAATAGAAGGGTAGGGTGAGAGAAAATTAAGGAGAGACAGAAGCAAAGGTGAGAATGTGGAAAATTTGACATAGGTGTTGAGCTAGCGAACGAAGCTGGAGAAGTTGTTATGTTTGAAGTATTTGGGAAGAAGGGTTTTAAAGAATTTATGGGAGTCCCATTTACAATAGCAGAGAAGAATCATCTTCCAATCCAAACCCTGAAATGGACGACAAAGACAAATCCGAAAAGAGAAGTAGAGATCGTCACTCCGAACGCCATCGCGACTCCGATGACCACTACCCTCGCGACTCTAACGACCATCGCCATATCGATCAGACAAGCATCATAGGTGTGACCCTAAATCTAGGGATAGAGATAGGGATAGGGCTTATGAAAGAGAAGGAAGCAAGGACAGAGATAAGGATAGGAATAAGGTTTAAGAAAGAAAGAGTAGGTCGAAGGTGAAACGCGATGAGGAGAGGGAAGATTCGGTGGAGCCGCGACACTCCTCGCAATCTCACAAGCGCAAAGAGAGGGAGATAAGCGAGGAGAGGGACTTCGAGGATAAGAAAATTAGGGTTACCATCGAGAGGAGGGAACAAAGGAAATTTGGGGATGAAGTAAAGAAGGAAGAACAAGAAGAGAAAGTAAACAGTGATGGTAAAATCGGGGGTAGAGGCCAATGTCAAGAAGGAAGTCACAAATGGCTCCCATGTCATGTCAAGCTGATCGTTGCAGGAAGAGCAGAGGAGAGAGAAAAAAAATTCAAATTTCATAGCCACGTCACAACGGAGTTAACTCCGTTTATGCCAATTCAACGAAAGGGATTTGATTGGTGCAAATTATACAACATGAGGACGTAATAGAGGCATTTCTAAAAGCGGGTACTAAACTGAAAAAATCCTCTAAATGTAGGGACCAAGTAAGCAATTAAGCCATTTTAATATTATGAAATTGGATCTTAACCTATCTTAAAATTCAGTTTTATTTCAAATTTTAAATAGATATATTTTTTGTGTTAAACTTTTCTTTAACATGAATTTATACATAGTTTTTTTTTAATGTTTATACGTGGAATTTTTAATGTTTGTATGTCATAACTAAATTCTCATAACCAAGTATTTTTCTTAGCGAGCTTTGTCATTTTCTTCTCCTTTAACGTCACCAACCTTGATTCATTCTCCGTTTGTGATGGGCTTATTTTTATCATCAACTTAAGAAAAAACTTATTCTTACCTTGAGCATAAATAATGGTTACACCTTTTAATCGCTAATATGTTGTTATTGACATTATCAAATTAATACTACTTAACAAGACGACTTCAATATTGTTAAGTTAATAGTTAACAAACTAGATAGGGTTAAAGTAACTCTGAATCGTTTTCTAACTAATACAAAATTGTTTTCCAAATACTTGACTATGGAGACTCTGAAAAGTTAGTAAATGTTATGCAATGCTTAAAAATAAAAGTGAAAAGTTATTCCAATGAAATTAATGTTTGAAAAATGTTATGAGTTTAATTAAAGAACAAAATAGGCTAATTTCACTACTTTTCCAAGATAGATTCATCATCAGTTATTCATATATTATTGTTTAATTGATTATTGTTTGAGTTTCAAATTAATTAAAGTACATTTTTAATTAATTTGAGGGCGATCTTACAATTAATCAAAGTAAATTTTCAATCAAAAGCAAAACCTTTTTAGAATATTCACAATAAATTCAACCAAAGTACATTCTCAATTAAATCCTATTGTGGTTAACCATGTATATTCTTAAATCTCTTAAGAAAATTATAAGTTAATTAATCAAAGTAAATTCTCAATTAATTATTGTTAAACTTTTTACCACTAATCAAAGTACATTCTCAATTAGTAGCAAAAACTTGTTTAATCATATGAAAGCTCCTAAATTCAATCAAAGTACATTCTAAATCAAACCTAAAACCCCCCCTTGAACTTATATGATCAATATACATGTATATTCAAACACCTTATGATACAAAAATCATTACTTTTAACATGATTAAGAGATTAAAGACATAGAAGAAGGATAACTCAAATCAATAATCAAAAGAAACAAATACATTAATTCAACTTAACATCATAATCCATAATTAAATTACAGTGGAATAGCCCTAGAAGCTTAATACATGGTAAAATAAAATGAGACAAGTGGTGGATGATTGCTTCCCACTGGAGGAGTCTGAGTGGATGAATGGAGGAGCTACTTATGGCACGGTATTGAGTGTTGATGCGCGAGGAAGATGATGAACATTGGCCATGGTGGCTTCGCGTTGAGATCTACCTAGTCTACGATGAAGATGGTGAAGCATTGGAGGTTCACGGTGGTCCAAGGAGGTTTGTGGTGGAGAATGGATAAGAATGGGGTGGCCTTCTCTGGTGGTTGTCATGCTTGACTGTGGCCGACGCAAGGTGGAAGATGGTGGCTAGGGAAATTAGGGTTCTGTCTTGGGTAATGAAGGTGGTGATGGCATGACATGTTGTCATTGACTGATTGGGTGTGTAGAGGACCATAACATGTTGTAGGATCTGATTGGCTCATCTTTATTTGCTAGGATTGATGCATACATGACATCATCTAATTAAATTTGACTTGTGAGTGGTATGACGGGTGTAGAATAGTGAAATTATAGGGTATGGAAGTAAAAATGGCCCAATGCTGAGAAAGAGGTTGTATAAATGAAAAATTATGGGTGTATTTAGCTCCTTGTAATTTTCTTTTCATGAATAAACTAATTCATACTTAAATGTGCAACTTGGACCACTTATTTTTACGTTTTGAATCAATCAAACTTTAATTTCAACTACATCAACAAACATTAGACTATCCAAAATAATTTATGCAACTAAAATTCACATTTTAAGTGTCTTTAATTCCCAAACCTGATAAATTCAAACGTCACAAATCTTATTTAANGCAAAACCTTTTTAGAATATTCACAATAAATTCAACCAAAGTACATTCTCAATTAAATCCTATTGTGGTTAACCATGTATATTCTTAAATCTCTTAAGAAAATTATAAGTTAATTAATCAAAGTAAATTCTCAATTAATTATTGTTAAACTTTTTACCACTAATCAAAGTACATTCTCAATTAGTAGCAAAAACTTGTTTAATCATATGAAAGCTCCTAAATTCAATCAAAGTACATTCTAAATCAAACCTAAAACCCCCCCTTGAACTTATATGATCAATATACATGTATATTCAAACACCTTATGATACAAAAATCATTACTTTTAACATGATTAAGAGATTAAAGACATAGAAGAAGGATAACTCAAATCAATAATCAAAAGAAACAAATACATTAATTCAACTTAACATCATAATCCATAATTAAATTACAGTGGAATAGCCCTAGAAGCTTAATACATGGT